AAGTTTTAAAATAAACATTAAATTGATATAAAATAATAAAAGGAAGCATCAGGCGCAAAATAATTTTTTTTTTATTTTCGATCTTCAAACTCAATATACTCATTAATTTATTTCTGATATTTTTAAGTATGTATTTTTATTTATTTGTAAATTTGCTCATATGTATGAACTTTATAAATATTTCTGCACCTTTCAAAATTTTAAGGGAATATAATATATTTGCATTGTTCCCTCAATGAGCCTAGTACAAAAATGTTATTGATTTTATTGGCCAAAACTCATTTCATTTTTTTAATTATTGTCAAAACACGTTCACCAGAAATTTTCTACAATTTGTCTTCGTATACACAACATTGTACTCACCATTTTACACGGCCGTTAAATTGTCTATGTACAGACAATTTGAACGGCGTTTTATGAAGAGAACTAATTCTCACACATAAAAAAAGTCAGTGTCACAAACATTTTTTTGTCTGTGTAAGAATTAATTCTCTTCACAAAACACCGGTTAGAATGTATGCACACAAATAATTTGACCGACGTGTAAAATATCGTGTATATAGAGAATTTTGAAACTTTCTATGTGTTGTACTAAGCACTTAGATGTTCCTTATTAAATAAAATGATTACTTCCCATCAATAAGAACTTCAGGGGTGACCGTAGGGTGCAAAAGGGCCAAAGGGGTGACCAACTCACCAACCTAGACATAAAAAATGGAAAATATCTCAAGCCTAGTAATGTGTGTATACATATGTGCTTTGAGTAGTGTTTTTTCACTAGGCCTAATACTTAATTTGTACTCCGTACTTATCTTTTTCTTTCTTACGGAGTATATGTCAATTGAAATCTTATTTAAATAAGGAGAAAGATCCAAACATACTCATGTAGTATGGATGTGAGAACAAATATATCCTTGTTCTATTTTTCAGAACAAATATACTTTGAAATATATGTTGAAGTGCATATATACCCCTAAACTTTTAAAAACTACAAAAATATCCCTCATGTTCTTTAAAAAAACAAATCCATTCTTATTGACTTTAAATAGATAAAATAATTTTTTCAAAAACACTATAAACAAATTATAAATTCCAAATTTAAAAATACAATGTTAAAATATTAACTCTTTAATTTTAAATTGCAAAATTATTATTTTGCCATTGTAAATGAAACACTTCGAATTCATTAATTTTAATTTTAGTCTTGTTGCGAAATTTTGAACACATCGATACAATTTTTTAAACAACATTCTTTGATTTTGTTTAATCTTAACAAAATTAAATTCACTATTTTGTAATCTTGGACTATTTGTAATCATACAAAATATGTAATTTTATAGTGCAAAGAATGCAAAGAATTAATGTTTTTTTACATTGCAACACATATGTTAACACTCTTTTAAAAGAATCTTAAATATATAGTGAAGTCTTGAAATAATATTTTATACTAACAATATTGAATTGTGGTAAAGAAACAATAAAAGGGAGAATTGGACACAAGTACATTTTTATTTTTATTTTAATTTCGAATTTATAATTTATTTTTGGTGTTTTTTTAATTTTATTTTATCAATTTAAAGTCGATAAGGGTAAACTTGCTCTTTTATATGAATATGAGGGTTATATGAATATGAGAGGTATTTTTGCACCTTTTAAAAGTTAAGGGGTGTATATATATGCACTTCCACATATACTTCAGGGGCAGGGGCGGATCCAGGAACGGGATGTGGGGTGGGCTAAGAAGTAAAAAAAATTGTTAGTGCACACAAAATGTTTAATTTAGGGTTGTTATCGAACTAAGCTTTTTTTGAACTACTCGAGTTTGAACGTGATTTCAAATTTAATTTAATGACTCAAGCTTAACAAGCTTTGAAGTCGAAAACGGCTAGATTTTCAGTTCAAATAGTTATTCAAGCCGAGTTTGAGCTTAGTGATGTTCGGTTCAATCCGGCCGGGCTCGACCTATCGTTAACTTATAAATCATAGGAATAAATTAAACCGTATATAACTTAAAATTTAAACATATTTAGTGCAATTTTATAAATTTATTAATGATTATTAAAGATTCTAATATTTCAAATTTCATTTGAAAATTTTAACTATTTCTTACATGTGCACACAATAAATAAATTATTCTCTAATCTTCAATTGTATAATAAATAAATCATTCACTAATCTTTAATTTTATCTTTAATCATTTTTTGGAAAAAAACAATTTATTATTAACCATTATAAATTTATAATGAATACACACTATTTTATTATGTACTGAAAAATTCAATTAAGAATCAAATAGATTTACAAAAAAAAATACGGAGTACATAATAACACAGTCACAAAATAATACAATGTTTCACATATATAACACAATGACAAAATCACTTCAGGTCCTCGGTTCATCAAATATTCAAATAGATTAACAATGTTTCACAAAATAATACAATGCTTAACAAATAATACAAGTTTAATCAAGAAAAATAGTGTAAATGAGTATTTGAATTTAGAGTATACATGGAGATAGAGACAAAGCGAGTCGGACTCGGAGAGTCGGAGAGTGAAGACGGCTGACACAGGGCCCTGGACGCGTGGGCGGCGGGCGGCGGCTCAGCAATTGACCAGAGATCGGATGGTGTTCGTCTTTGGTGTCTCCGTTGCAGCTCCGCTACTCCCTCTTTCACCTTCATGCTTCGCAGCTCCGTCGCAGCTCCGAACTTCTGGCCGCAGGTTAGCTTGAAGTAGTTAAGTGGAATAGTTGATAATAGGATTGGATTGGATTGGGAATTAATTTTGGGGTGGGCTAGGAGTTAATTTTGGGATGAGCTGGACATTAAATTTATGCATATACTAATTAAAAAAATAAAAATTGGGCTAGGCTGGAGCCCACCCCTGCCCACACAAGGATCCGCCTCTGTTCAGTGGTATATTTGATCCGAAAAATACAATAGGGTATATTTGTTCTCACACTCAAACTACAAGGGTATATTTGTACATTTTCTATCAAAATAATTTTATAACTGTGTAATGCATTGAACCGCCATAGTTGCAAAGTCTCAAGTCTTCAAATTGTATAATGTGTCAGCTGCTTCTGCAAAGAAACATGTTGTTGGAGAATATTATCCCGGCCTACTACTGTTCAGAGGCCCAAGTCATCACCCGGTATGAAGCCCGGTCAGCAAGGCCCATTTAGGCCTACCCAGCCCGTTTCGGCCTAACCGGCCCGCTAGGATAGGAATTAGGTCAATTAAGGCCCAACCGGCCCACTGGCCCATAAGAGTAAAACCCCACCCTTCTTCTATAAATAGGAAGCATTGCTTTCATGTAAAGGGACTTTTGGCCCTTCCCTCCTGGAAGTTAGGCTGCTCTCCTCCCTGCTACTACTCCTTAGATTAGATGAACTCATATGCTCCATGAATGGAGGTTCCAACGATATGTATTATGTAAATGAGTGATGGGAGCATATTAATGAAAAGAGCGGGCTTGTATGTTAGCCTAAAGAGTCCCGTGGTTTTCTACCTTTCCGGATTTCCACGTAAAAATAGCTAGCTTATACATTTTTATATTTATTATTTACTTTTATACTGAATTTATCGTCCTTAATATCCGAAGTTTATGTTTGGGCTTCCGGATCTACCGGACTAAACCTCAACACATGTCATTGTCATTTTAGATTTTTACATGTGTAACTACTTGACGTATTAATACTTATTTAATACGTAGTAATATGTTGTCATTTTTACAATTGCAAGTGTTCATTTTTTTGAATTAGATTTATCATGTTATTGTGTGTGATTATTTAATTCTCATGTGTGTGTTTGTCTATATTTTTTCAAAATTGAAGATTCCCAAAATTATCTCATGTTAACTTTGTCTCAAAAAATGCTCAACAAATTATCATTATTAGGAATTGAACATGAGATCTAAAAAAGTTGTCTTTGGAGTAATTATTGACAATTTCACAATGTCCGAGAAATATTTCTACATGATATATTTACTTTTTTTACTTTTAGTTGCTACTTAATTATGACACTACTTTTATTAAAATATGTAACTTATATGATGATAAAGTAATTCTTATTGTTATTATGTCTTTTTTACATAATTATATTAATCTTAATGCTCTAACACAATGTGATTGTTTTTTACATTGAGAATGAGCCCATGATATAGCTTTACTCATTGAGTCATTAATAGTAAAAATACATGACCAGTCATGCCAACAACTAGTACTAGTGCAAAAAAGGCAATGGTTTGTAGAGGAGATTCTCACAGCGTTACCGTGGGAGAAGAGAAGACATCTTAAATTCATGTCTAACGAGATGATGCATTTGTTTTTCCCACCCGAAATCATCTTCTCGTTCATTATGCAATCTACAAATATTATACGACATACATTCATTTTGTCTCTGACAACTTTCGTGAATCGTCATTTGAAGTGTTTCAGCGCCATCATATATACTTGGATTATACTAAGCTCCTATTAATCAGGAGGAACCACTTCTTTATTTATCATTCTTGAACTATAATTAAGCATCAAAACGATTTAATAGTCAAACAAAATAATGATTAATGAAAAACATTATCTTTAGGAAAACCCAAAGTTGCCTTAACTAAATTTTGATCAATGATAGTGACTTGGGGAGTGGATTCTTATATTCCATTTCAACCCTTCTTGTTGTACACATTTTTGTACACACTTTGTACATTTGTCTGTGTACACAAACGATTGAAAGACAAATGGTGCCTTTTTCTTAACGAACTGACTGCGTGCACAGGTAAAATAGAGTGTGTACAAAAGTGTGTACAAATTGATTTTTTGATTCTATTTTGTACTTCTTGATTTATAACCATGTATGTAAAGTTGTAAATTTAAACTTGACAAAGTGACGATAAAACCATCTCTAGACCAGAGCATAGCACGACGTCATTCTCTTACATCACACAATTATTCTTAGGCTGGCTGTATTAGAGATTCCCCAACTCTTCTAATTGGCTTTTTGCAGCCGCGCTCTACCCTTCTAACTCTTCGCCTCTGAATTCGCTCTAAAGCATTAAAGACTTCTTCTTGCGAAGTAGCCATACATTCCTCCGACCCGACCCTTCAAGATTCTGTTCGTATCTATCTGGCGGTATATATATTTGAGTTTCTACTGCCGGTATATGATAATTATCGCGCACCTGGAAGAGAGAAATATGAAAAGTTACATGCTTTAGAGAAAGTTTTTGGATTGGAACACTGGTGAAGCTTTTCGGGGGGAGAGAAAGGACTACCCAAAGGGAAAGGATGAACCGATTTGGTTTCCCCAGCCTCTTCTAGGGCTTACATTTCTTTGCACATTGAGGGCTGGATTAATTCTTGGTGCATGCACATGTATTCAGCGTTGTGTGTATGGAATCAGAGGATCTGAGGTAGGGGTTGAGTATTGTAAATCTGGGTGCGTTTTGAGCTTGAATTGGGATAGGGGGATGTTGTTTGGAAATGCCAATTGTTAAGAATTCGAGCACCGATCTTATACGGAAGTTGTGGATATTACGAGGACGAGGAGGTGGGATTAAGAAAGATGGACGTTGATTCCGCTATGACATCCGAATCCGATCAGGATCAGAAGAAGAATAATGGGCCTAGCACCGAACAGTTAAGAGGCGATGGAGAATCACAGCAGCAGAGCCCTCCGTCTCAACAGCAGCAGCACTCGCCACCAACGGCGCTGCCTCTTCCTCCGCCTCAACAGCAGCACAATATTTGTCCGGGTGTGGGGCCAAGGTGCGCTCCCACGCTCTCGGTGGTGCACCCTATTCTGGAGAAGGATGATGGTCCAGGACCAAGGTGTGGTCACACGTTAACAGCTATCCCTGCCGTGGGAGAGGAGGGTGCTCCTGGATATATTGGTCCTCGGCTTATTCTCTTTGGCGGTGCCACTTCACTTGAGGGAAATTCTGCAGGCTCAGGGACACCTTCATCTGCTGGAAGCGCTGGAATCCGTATGAACTCATTGTTGATTTTTTTTTAGAATTGTGGTCATTTTTTCCATTTATTCCACATGGCACATGGCCACACAAAAGCTTAATTGAATACTTTTTATATGTTGTTCTTATTGGAGTAGTATTACTAGCACACATTTTTTGCTCGTATTGTGCACCTTTCATGGAGTTCACCTTTTTATAAGTTGATCAAGGTAGCATTTCCACTTGAATTCCAATTAAAATATCCATTTATTTTCATAGGGGTGTAGAGTAAAACTGGTATGGGTTGAAAATATGGCACATTGTTGCTTGAACATGATAAAGGATGGATCTTTACTTGATGCAAAAATTCTTAAGTTTCTAAATAATTTCCCCCCCTCTTCAACAGTGCACATTTGTTTCCATGCATTTGTTCCTAAGTTTAATGTAATTTATGCTTGGTGAGTTGATACTGTGATTTTTTAATCTGAATTTCTTGCTGATTAACCGAAAGCATAAACTTTCCAAATACATCTGAGACGATCTTGAAGGTTCTATTTGGTTGCAGGGTTGGCTGGGGCTACGGCTGATGTTCACTGTTATGATGTTTTGACTAATAAATGGTCTAGGTAACCCATTTGATTGTTATCATTCCTTATTAGATGAGAACATTTCTGTATAAGACTATAAGGTTTTAACTAGTTATCTTCTCAGAATTACTCCAATTGGAGAGCCACCCACGCCAAGGGCAGCCCATGTAGCTACTGCTGTTGGTACAATGGTTGTTATTCAGGTGGATAATTACTCTCAGTGAAGAGCTTTCATGGGATTGATCTGTACTGTGTATAGGTGTGATGGTCTATGTGTAGATGTGATGGTCTTTCCTTATTATCACAGGGTGGGATTGGCCCTGCCGGTTTGTCTGCCGAGGATCTTCATGTACTGGATCTTACGCAACAACGGCCACGGTGGCATAGGTTGGTCTCTTACTCCGTGATTATCACATGCTTTCATTGAAGAGTTGAATAACATTGGTGCAGACAAACTGTGTATCAGTCGCTAAAGTTGTGCTATCTTCAATCTTTATTTTAGAGTTGTAGTCCAAGGCCCTGGTCCTGGGCCTCGTTATGGACATGTCATGGCTTTGGTAGGACAAAGATACCTAATGTCAATTGGTGGAAATGATGGTAGGTCTTGTTAAAACTATTTGTCATTGTTTCTATCCTGCACGTAACTAAATGATCTCATATCATGGTGCATTCTTTCAGGGAAACGACCTTTGGCAGATGTTTGGGCCTTAGATACAGCAGCCAAGCCATATGAGTGGCGTAAATTGGAACCTGAGGGGGATGGCCCTCCTCCATGCATGTAAGTTTCTTTATTTTACCTTTTTGCAATCTTTAGTACCCTGTCTGTGGCTCTGTCTCGATATAAATGTCCTGTTTTTCATTTTGGATTGTGCCGAAACAAATGTCTTTTTTTCCATTTTGGAAAGAGATAAAGTGGTTCTCATTATTTCACTCATTTCTACTAAACTCTCTGCATCTCTTTTCAGTTTTCAATTACATACTTATCAACCCTGCCAAACTCAAACTAGTAATTTATTTCGGGATGCAGGGAGTGAAATTCAAAGAAAGAAATGCAAGTCTCAATGCGTAATATTAAAAGTTCATTGTAATCTCAGAAATGTATATGTGAGAGTCGTTATTAAGATGTTGCAATTAGAGGAAAGTAACATATAAAGGAACTCATGGTTAGGTGCTGCAAAGTTAGTTGCCTGCAACTACAGTTTTTATGGAAAATATTATTCTGCGTAATCAGGAGCCTTGATGAGTTATAATAAATAGTTTTGGCATGAAAATGTGTATTTATTAATGCGCCTAATTTTCAGCTCGTGGTCCATTCAACAATCTCCCGATGGAAGTTGATTGGCAGTAGTAACCAATGTCAGCTTCTTATTCAATAAAAAGTCTCATCTTCCTTTCTAAATGGCAGGAAATTGGGAAAGTTCAGTTTTATCTTTACTCTTTATTGATCGGAATTTCTTACAGTCAAAGTTAGTGAATTTAAGGTGCAATCGAATAAGTTGAATGTTCTGAATATCTTTATAAACATTACACTAAATGTCTAGATGAGATAGCCCTTTAAATGGATGAATATCTCAAAAAAGGAAACTACTGACCAGTGCATAAGTTTTCCACATCAGGCAGGGACGGTATGTGTTTTGAAGGCGTATACACTGTATTTCTCAGAGTTGTTAAATTTTATATTATAAATAAATAGTTAAACGGCCAAATGCTCATTGGTCATACACTCATACCACTTCACGTCTTCACCTAGTCAGGTATTTCTATTTAAATCAAAGAAAACAAATCTTCTAAAATATGATCATAAATAATTAAATACTCAACCAAGTTCTCAATGCTCAGCACTTGACCACTTCACCATAGGTGTGCTTATTAAAAACAAATGAATATGTCTTCTAATATATGGTTATAAACAATTAAATACGCAGCCAAATGCTCAATGTTCTGATATTTAATTAATCATTAGTCATAATAATTAAATGCACTCGACCAGTTCATCTAGTCAGGTATTTTTAGTAAACCAAAGAGTATAAACTATTCAAACCGCACTGTATAAACTATAAACTAGTCAGGTATTCAAACTTTTGTATGATTCTATCTACTTGTTTTTGTTTGGTGTATGTTTGTATGTACCTCCTACTAATTGATACAGCAAAAGTAGAGTACCAATATCTCCATTTGTAATCCATTCCTTGCTTGCGAGAGGTTTGTTATCCTTGTTTGCTGATGAACTGCAAGATTTAATGAGTTTATATATTATAAGGTATTGGATTAAACTAACAAATAGATTGTGTTCGATCTTTTCTTTAGTGTTGTTTGCTCATGTACATTATGACTCATTTAAGTTACTATAACCCAGTTATAAATTACATTGAAGGCTTTACTGCCAAGTGCAAACTGGTCCAACTTTTTCTATTTTTTCCTTCCTTTCCATCTCTGTTTAGGTATGCAACTGCAAGTGCACGCTCTGATGGACTTCTACTACTTTGTGGAGGGAGAGATGCAAATAGTGTAGTAAGTGCTCCTTCCCCATCCCTTTTCCCGCATGCAGCATTAGTCAATACTTAAAATTTGTTTCACAGTTGGGTATTTTTAACATTATGCATTGGTGCTTGCTTTTCTCTGGTAGTTAGGTCTTATAAGTGCATTGCTGTAAATTCTTCGCATACTAATCCCTATCCAGCCACTAGGTTATCCCTGCTCACATGTCTTTATCGTGTAGGCCTTCCCTAATTTCACTTAGGTCTCGCCTAACCATTGTTTAGTGCAATGCCTTAACGCAATAAGGCGCCTTACTACTTCTGAAGATCTTAGGATGGGAGGCTAAAACGAATTTAGGCAATACAAAAGTGTTCGTTTTTTTAGCTAGGTCGTACGCTAATTACGCCTGCCATATAGTGGGTGTTGAGGCGCGCCACAAATAACTGGGCCCACTGCTGCAGCCCAAATCCCCCAAACTAATTTTATTTTAAAAATACCATATTGGCAGAAGGTTCGAAATTGCGTATTGCGTTTTTGAGGTGGTTTCTTAGCATTGCCTATTGCGTAAGCCTCAATGCGCAATGAGGCGTAAGCCTCAACTTCAACACAAATTTATATAAAAAAGTACAAATAATGTAATTAATATGTAATTTATATAAAAAAGTACAAACAGTATATATAATTAACAAACAACATAACAAAATAATATAATGTTCATCCATTAAGATATCTTCTACGGAGTATAACTAATGTGTATAACTAACAAAAAAGCTAATAAATAATATAATATTCATCCACTGAGATATCTTCTACGGAGTAACGGAGTACTTATTATTCTGCCCACAAACTCCTATATCAATAAATAAATAAAATTATCAGACAACCCATACATGTTTTAGTGTGAAGAAGAGAAGGAATGAAACTTGAAAGGACACAGAGGGTCTTAGAAGGTAAAACACGCACAGAAGAAAGCAGCCACCGAGTACAAAGTCTGCATATATATTGCAGAAGTCGCTACTTGCTACACAACCTTATATATTATGCCAAATAGGGTATGTATTTTTAAAATAAAATTAATTTGGGGGATTTGGGCTGCAGCAGTCGACCTTGGAAGAGAGAAGTATGATGCAACGTAGAGGAAGAAGTATGATGTGTTTTCTTAGTAGGAGGGTATTTCAGATCTAAATCACCCTAATAAGAGGGAAGTTGAAGGAAAACTCAAGAATTGACTCCCCATAGTCCATACATATTTACTTACACAAACAAGGATAGGGAACCAAATCTCATCCCCCCTTAAACCACTCACTCTGTAAAGTTATATGGGCAGTTTTTTTGCTGAATGTATAGAGCTTTTTGTTTCCTTTAAACCTTTTTGTCAATGACTTTTGGCTCTTGATCAACAAAACCAGTGATGTCAATAGCGGCGCTATAGCGGAATAGCGTTGCGGCAGACATGGATGGCGCTACGGGGAGGGCTCTAGCGTGGCGTTTGGGTGTAGCGGCCATAGCGCCCGCTATTGCAGTGGTGCGGAGAAGAAGGCGGCCGCTAACGCGGCGCGTTTTATGGTAAAGAAGTTACTGCGCATTCTGGGAGGGATTTTAGCATTTAATTTTTTAGCGCAGACATAGAAGGGGTAAATTAGACTTTTAAAACAATATATTAACCTACTTAAAACCTTACACGTACGTCAAAGGCTACTAAAAGCCCAAAACGAAGCCAGCTCATAGTCACATAGTTCGCAGAACGCTTCGGTACGGGAATGAGGATCGGGAACGCGGTTCGCTAGATCTAGCGTATCCGATTCGTAGGGGGGTAGGTTTATTCCGGTACACGTTCGGTACGCTGTACCACATGTTCGGTACGTTGTATCTTAAATTTTGGTACTATATAAAACTGAATTACAGAATCCATAAGTCATAACATTAAACAATAACAGATTTCCTAATAATAAATCATAACATAAAACAAATTAAAAAATATTAATATTCCAGAAATAAAAAATACTCAGTTGAACCTTTGCGATGACTTCTTCTCCAAGAACGACGATCATCTATTTCTGCTGCTCTGCGATGGCTTCTTCTCCAAGAACGACACATGCTGCCCTCCTCTGCCTTCAGTAGTACATTCTGTTGCAACATCTTCTTCCCCAACCTTTGCTGCAGACCTGCAGTCTTCTTCTTCTTCTTCTTGCATGGAGTCTAGTCAGTCTACTCTCTTGTTTAAGCCCACAGGAGAACATCTTGACCCATAATTTGTCAAGGCTTAAACTTTTAAGATGTTTTAACTTTTAATTATTAATAGCATCTTATGTTTTGCTCATGAAACTAAAGAGTATTTCTAAGTAATTTAGGTGGGTGAACCATCTAGTTTCAGTAGTCTCTTTGCAGACCTCAGAGTAATTTTTTTCATATGTATGTATTACATATGCTTCCAGTAGTTACTTATCTATTACATTTGGAAGTACTCTAAATAGCGGTCATCCCGCTATCCGCTATACCGCTATAGCGTTTTTGGGGCTGCCCGCTACGCTCCGCTATCTGGGATTGACAACACTGAACAAAACAATAAGTTGATTTCTTTCTTTTTATCGCACTGCCCTTGCGTAGTTGTTGTGACCTATTTGATCTTTGCAGCCATTAGCAAGTGCGTATGGACTAGCTAAACATAGAGATGGTCGGTGGGAGTGGGCAATTGCTCCTGGTGTGTCACCATCTCCTAGATATCAACATGCTGCAGTAAGTCATTGAGAGTTAAGCTCCGCTAATGTATTCTAGATTTCCATCCCCTTGGGTGGCAATTTCAATTATATGCTGGAATTGCAGGTTTTTGTTAATGCAAGGCTCCATGTATCTGGAGGAGCTCTGGGTGGTGGACGTATGGTTGAGGACTCCTCCAGTGTGGCTGGTATCCCCTCTAAAACTTTTGCAAAAAACTTTCTGTACGAAACACGATAATCTTATATATTGAACATGTGTATTCCTTTTCCAGTTTTGGATACTGCAGCTGGGGTATGGTGTGATACAAAGTCTGTGGTTACGAGCCCAAGAACTGGAAAATTTAGTGCAGATGCTGCAGGTGGAGATGCAGCTGTGGAGTTGACTAGGCGTTGCAGGCATGCTGCTGCTGCTGTTGGAGATCTGATTTTTATTTATGGTGGTCTACGTGGAGGTGAGATTGATAACTTCACGGTCAAATAATCCATTTTAATATCTTTTTATGGAATACTCTCTTAGTCTCTTGGACTGGTAACTTCTGCCAATGCAAAAGGATGAATGGACTCCCCATAAGATTCTTAATCACTCTTTCCGCTCCTATTTACAAGATACAAGGCATATAATATTGCTCCAAAATATGATTCTTTTTTGCATTATCAATGCTCATTTATTTTCTTCTTCCACATTATCCCTACTGAAAACTATCTCTGTCATATTCCCCAGAAAAAAGTTTGGGCATATAAGCATACTAGGAAAGTGATGATTGTTATAGATGATTTGTTATCATTTCCTTGGTATGTCTGAAAGCCAAAATTGTGCCTTATAATAAGTACCAGAGGCAGTATGAATTTCAATTGCAATTGGTTAATAGTGCTCACTTCAGTTTTTGAGCCTGGCAAACTCTACCATATATTGATCATTTGATTGGAATATAGTTGTAGTAGATGTTTCATGATTATCTAAAAAATAATCAGTACTTCAAAGTGGGTCCAAGGGAGTACTTTTACATGTCTAGAACAAAATTTGTTGCTCATAAAATTATTTGTTCAACCGTGTGCTACAAGTGCGACTTTATGGTTCCCTTGTTGGCATATATGTAAAGTCAGGGTTAAATATTTCACATCGTGACATCGGTTTTTTTGAAAATCTGCTGTTCTAGGAATGCATTTGTGATACACAGATGAAAGAAATCAGTTTTTGCTCTGAAGCTGTATCAGTATTCGATAGCCTTCAGTCCTTAAAAGTATGTAATTTGTAATGATTTATTCCTGTGGTTCTGTGGATCTGATCCATGTTAAACTTTGCCATTGGGTGTATGGTACACGTGATTTTTAAGCTGGTGTTTTCTTTGTTACTTCGTATAGGTTTCTCAGAGTCGTTGAACTACTAAATTGCAATCTGTCTGCTCAGACAGTAATTCAATGTAATGATTATCGTGCAGGTGTATTGCTGGATGACTTGCTTGTTGCTGAAGATTTGGCTGCTGCTGAAACGACAAGTGCTGCTTCTCATGCTGCGGCTGCGGCAGCGGCAGCCTCAGATATGCAAGGCAGGATCCAAGGGAGGTATGGATTTGTTGATGAGAGAACGAGACAGACAATGCCTGAAACATTGAGTGATGGTGCTGTTGTTCTGGGAAATCCTGTTGCTCCCCCCGTGAATGGTGATATGTATACTGATATCAGCACTGAAAATGCCATGCTTCAAGGAACTCGGTGAGCTGAGTTTATTATTGTTATTATTGTTATTATTATTATTATTATTATTATTATTATTGTTATTATTATTTGTTACTATGAAGTCTAATGAATGTGTATTTCCGTGGAGGAGATTGAGCAAAGGTGTTGAGTATTTAGTTGAGGCATCTGCAGCTGAAGCAGAGGCTATTAGTGCTACATTGGCAGCTGCAAAAGCTCGACAAGTTAATGGAGAAGTTGAACTACCAGATAGGGATCGTGGCGCAGATGCAACTCCTAGTGGAAAAGAATCATCAAGCTTGGTCAAGCTTGACCCTGCTTTAGCAAACACTTCTGCTCCACCTGGTGTTCGGCTACATCACCGTGCTGTCTGTTTGCTGCTTTCCATTAAGCTTTCATCTAATTTTGTGTGGTTTCTCAACTCAGTTCTGAATTAATGTTGATGGGTGCTGTATCATCAATTTATTGACAGGTAGTTGTTGCTGCAGAGACTAGTGGAGCTCTTGGAGGCATGGTTAGACAACTCTCCATTGATCAATTTGAAAATGAAGGCAGACGAGTCAGTTATGGTACTCCAGAAAATGCAACAGCTGCAAGAAAGCTTTTAGATAGACAAATGTCTATCAACACCGTTCCCAAAAAGGTATGACCCTTAGTACCTGTAAACATAGTCTGAAAAGATGTGAGCTGGCCTTATCTGAGTCTCTATGCCGTCTATGGTCTGTTCTGATTGATCATCATCGTCATCGTCATTACCCCATTGCCGCAAAGGCTCCCACCTATGGTGGGGTAAGGGGGTCGGATGTACGCAGTCTTACCCCTGTACTAGAGCACACAGAGAGACTGTTTCCGGATGACCCATAGTGAAATTCGCGTCAAAAATTGCATGGACCGACTACTACTTCATAATAAAGAAGCGCAGACAGTTTAGTGAGCCATTTTGCTTTATTCCATCATATTCCCAAGCAAAAAAATACTGTCTCTGGCTCCATTGTAGATGATGGAAAATCTCGTCTGATTGATCTGGTTTTTATTTTGTGTGAAATATAACAAATGGTCTGCATCTTTTGGGTTTGGTTGGATTAATAACAATAAGTAAGAAGAAAAAACATGGTTAGGAAAGCAACACTGCAGTCTTTAATCCTGCTCAGCTGCTCTAACTAGGGAACAATGGAATCAGTTTGGGGTGGGTTGATAGGAAAGTTGCACTCTTTTCTCTTTCAGGTGTTTGGCTCGTTATATGTTTTATGCAGTTCTTGCGAGTTGTGACATACATAACAGCTGCCCTACCTAGATGAAATGCACAAGATACCATTAGGATTTTCAAATATACAATTCATTTTTCTAACAGCTGCCCATAGTTTGTTGATATGGACTATGGGATGAAATGGACTTCCTTTTGCTCTTTTGTGCAGTGGTCACATGTTTTCTTTGCTAAAGATGATTTTAAATGAACTGTTGCTCATGTCCTTGTTACATTGTGTCAGGTCATTGCTCACCTTCTAAAACCTCGGGGTTGGAAGCCACCTGTTCGCAGGCAATTTTTCTTGGACTGCAATGAGATATCTGATCTTTGTGACACTGCAGATAGATTGTTTTCCTGTGAACCTACTGTTCTACAGCTCAAAGCTCCTATTAAGATATTTGGTGACTTGCATGGCCAATTTGGGGATCTCATGCGTCTTTTCGATGAATATGGATCTCCTTCAACTGCTGGAGATATAGCGTAAGTCTCCATTTTTTATTTTCCCTTTGATATCTTTAAATACTACATACTTAACTTTGAGATGATTCTTGAACTGCTCAGCTCAATGGCTACAATTCTATCAAAAGCGTTCAGATGCGCTTCTCTGTATTTGTACACTACGAAATAAGAATCCATATCAATTCAAGTACATGAGTTTCATTCACAAGTCACAACCTGTAGATCTTCTCTACAAATGTTTCTCTATTTTGTTGGGTTCACTAGCTATTATTGTAGAGAGGTATGTAAACCAAACCAAACAGACCTATTATGCCCCATTCTGGCATTCAGAAATAGGGTCTGGGGAGGGTGAGATGTATAGGACCTTACCTCTACTCATTAGGAGGGGAGAGCCTGTTTCAACGAGAACCCCTTCTATGCCAATTTTTTTGGAAGTTTTGGAAGATCTTAAGCATCTGATATTTTTTAAAAATATTTGAAGGTTTTGAAAACATTTATAATTTTGTTGAATTAGGAAAAACAAGACACCTAAAGGGAAAAGTTGACGTGGACCTTGGTAAAACACTGCTTTAAGGCTTTAAGCAATAAGAGAATGCAAATAAATAGCATAAAACAGCGTGGAAAGGATAGTATTATAGTAATAGAGTAGGCAGGCAAAAATATAAAGAGCTTTGTGTTGATGTTAAAAATATGTTCTTGTGTGCATCACATGCAGACATGAAAACTTATTTTGAAAATGGAGTCAACTTAATAAATTATATAATGAATTGGATTTGCATGTTTATTATGTATATCAGTTAGCTTGACTTTTTACTTGATTTCTTTCAATGCGAGAAGGCTAACCAAGTGAACAACTGTGGTTCTAATTTTTAACAATTGACCATCAGATATATCGATTATCTCTTCCTAGGAGATTATGTTGATCGTGGCCAGCATAGCTTGGAGACTATAACTCTTCTGTTGGCTTTGAAGGTAACATTGCCTACCTGTACGTCCATTGTCTCAGTCCATCAGCACTCGTTGGTTTCTAATTTAAATAAAGTTATATCTTTATTTAGGCCGAGCATCCTCACAATGTTCACCTAATCCGTGGGAACCATGAAGCTGCAGATATAAATGCACTTTTTGGCTTTCGAATTGAGTGCATTGAGCGAATGGTATGTCTATATCTTGTTTTGTTTAAAACATTTCTTTCTGCTGTTGAAGAAAGACACAACTGATTGAGATTAGGAACGAAATTATGGATCAGGGTGAGAGAGATGGAATCTGGGCTTGGCATCGTTTTAACAGACTATTTAACTGGCTTCCTCTGGCTGCATTGATTGAGAATAAAATTATTTGTATGCACGGTGGTATTGGGAGATCCATCAATCACATTGAACAAATCGAGAATATTCAGCGCCCTATTAGTATGGATGCTGGTTCCATTGTGCTCATGGATCTGTTGTGGTTAGTACTATATTTTACTTCAATCTGAACACCATTTGTTCGTTTTTAATAATTATTTTGAATACATAGTCTCCAGTTTTTTCTTGAATAGGATATGATCTATATTCTTATGCAAATCTATGCTTGCAGGTCTGACCCAACAGAAAATGATAGTGTTGAAGGACTACGCCCAAATGCTAGAGGTCCTGGATTAGTTACTTTTGGGGTGAGTGTTCCTTTATCCAGTTTTTCTTCACTTTCCAATTTTCCATGAATGGGTTTAAATTAACCCTTCGTAGTTCATACTCATTTAAGAAAATTGGATTGAGGTGATAAGAGAGGAAGAGTGGCACTGGTTGTGGATAAGTTGAGCGAGAAGTCGAGAACTATACATGATGGTTTACCCACATGTGGTGGGGGTATACCTAAAATCTTGTGTGGATGTAGGAGGGTTTTTGGAGGGCTTACTCCATGACTTTGTTGATGACTTCACATTCACAGTTTTATGACTTCGGAAATGTTCTATTCACTAAAACCTTCCAAGCACCTCCCCAAAAGCTCATCTAAACAGGCCCTAATAGGTGTGAAATGAGTACAACATAATAAGGTTAGGGGAAGACTTGAGTTAGATGTTGCCAAAAAAAATTATATGAGTTCTCATAAGCACGGGGCCATGTAGATGTGCTGCCTTTCTCCAAAATCATTGTAGCTGCCTAATGTTTGCACTCGGTGAATTTCCTTTTTCATTTGCAGCCAGATCGTGTGATGGAATTTTGCAACAACAATGATCTTCAATTGATAGTTCGAGCACATGAATGTGTGATGGATGGCTTTGAACGATTTGCTCAGGGACATTTAATCACTCTATTCTCTGCCACCAATTATTGTGGTATGCCCTGCCCCCCTCTACTCAGATTGTTTGTCCTTGACTGCTGTTTTATGAATTTTATTTCTCAGGCATTAAACTTGTAAAACCATATTTACTGCAGGTACTGCTAATAATGCTGGCGCAATCCTGGTATTGGGTAGAGATCTTGTTGTGGTTCCAAAACTCATTCACCCACTGCCACCTGCACTTTTATCCCCAGAGGTGTCACCTGACCGGCATATAGAAGACACATGGATGCAGGTGCGCTATTATCGTTTCAGTTTCAGGGTTAACTTATACCTTCACCTCCTCAGGGTGTGCCAAATGAACTCCCTTGATCAGTTAGATTTTATGAAAAATGACCCTTCCAGAATGTAATGATGCATTGGTACTAACAAGGATTGAGCATATTCATATTGGATTAGGCTGTTTTTGTGCACTTCAAGGGCTAAATATATATGCTTTCTGCAAACTAGGAAATATTGAGAAAAAAAATTGATGCTAATTTACCAAATCTATGAGGGAGGTAGATGCAATTAACCTTATTATTATTTTTTATCCTGATTGTTTTTTTTTGTTTGTATTTCTGCGATGATGGGAATAGGAACTAAATGCTAATCGCCCAGCTACACCAACGAGAGGCCGTCCTCAAGGCACTAATGACCGAGGTTCTCTAGCTTGGATTTAGATCATATATATAAGCTGCTTTCCAGATTGACTCTTCGGAGTTCTATTTTTGTGCACTTAGCCTGATCCCATTGGGAGAATTTTGCAGATATGTGATCCATCTTTTGGTGGTCATATATGGAATGGACAGGCCTCTCAAAAACATTCCTCCGGTTATGAAGATTTGGCAGGTTGTCTGTTTCATGACGGTGAAAAGAAATTGAGGGTTTCGGGTGCACAGCCTAAGCCTGTTTGTACATGTATGCTTAGAAGCGTCAGACACGTATGGTCATTTATTAGAGTGATTAGTGCCATTTTTTATTTCTTGTTTTCTTCCCAGGGTTCTCATTCCCACAGTCCCACTTTAGTTTTGTTTTCTGTGCTTCTGTTGAAAGAGGGTTTAAGGTCCTTCGAATATATGCAGAATCTTGGTGAGCCTCCTTTGTATTATATATAGGGTTCGTGTAATTTGTTCTTTAATCTTGTAGTACAACTTTGGCTTGAGAATAATAAGCTCTTTTTAATTTAACATGTCTTTATATACTTATGTCACTCTCTCCAAAACTTCTTTTCCTTCCTACAGTTTTATGTGTTAGTACTCAATATTGTCCCTAATGAAAGGAAGTCAGATTGTTTTCAGAAAGCGTTCTTTTTTGAGTAAATTTCCTAAAAAGGAGTAAAAAAGTTTTGAAATTCCAAAATAGGACTATCATGTTTTTATTCCCTAAATATGAGTAAATTTTTTACAAGTTTGGCATAGGGTTGGATTCGGTTCGGGCCACCCGGCCCGTGACCCGGCCCGGCCTGGTACTGTGCGGGCCCGGGACCGGCCCGGTCGGGCGGTCCGGGACCGGCCCGGTCGGGCGGTCCGGGACCGGCCCGGTCGGGCGGTCCGGGACCGGCCCGGTCGGGCGGTCCGGGACCGGCCCGGTCGGGCGGTCCGGGACCGGGTCTGGGCCCGAACCGGGGGGAAGGGGCGGTCCGGGACCGGGTCTGGGCTCCGTTCAGCATTTTTGTGACCCGGCCGGGTCGGGCCCGGGTCCGGTTCAATTTAAAATTTTTTTTTTTTTTAATTTGGGCTCCTACTAGCCGTTGGGGGTGGGGCTGGGGACAACCCAAACGGCTATATAGCCGTTGGGTGGGGTAAAGGGGGGGTCCGGGGGGGTTGGGTGGTGGGGCGGGGGGGGGGGGGGGGTGGGGGGTAAAAAAACCTATAAATACTCCTAATCTTAAACATGTTTTCATATCTCTTCTCCAATTCTTCCTAAATCCTATTCTTAACTCTCTACTCTCTAATTCTCTTATTCTCCATTCTCCAATATATTATATTTATTATTTATAGTTTATATTAATTATCTACTTATATAAACTATAAATAGATATAAATAGTATTATATTACTTATATTTGTTATCTAATTATATATTACTTATATATTTATTATATCTATTAATATAGTTGGAATTATATCTAATTAATTTGAAGTCATTCTATTACTCCCATCCGAAAGACCGAAAGTCCGAAAGAGGTACGAAATAAATGCACTTGAAGTTTGTTTTTTAATACTTGTATAAAATATAAATTTTAAAAAAAAATTACCCGGCCCGACCCGGCCCGGCCCGGCCCGGCGGGTGGCCCGACCCGTGACCCGGGTGGGTGGCCCGGCCCGAACCGGACCCGTCCAACCCTCGGGCCGGTCCCGGGCCCACTATTCTAGAACCGGCGGCCCGACCGGGCCTGACCCGGCCCGAATCCACCCCTAGTTTGGAATCACTAGGCTTTTAAACATGGCATGTTTTTTCAAACTTGGTAGATTACTCCTATTCAAAGAATAAAAAACACGATACTCTTATTTTGGAATTTCAAAGTGTTTTTACTTCTATTTAGGACAATTTCTATTCTATTTTAAATTGCAATACTAGTTTTTTTTAAACGGATAGCGTTCACGTATATTTAATTCAAGTGAATCCAATAGGCAAAGACACAACACAGTTGTCCAGGCTTCCTAGCTACACACCTACTCTAAATGTATATAGATAGGGATGGATTCGGTTCGGGCCACCCGGCCCGTGACCCGGCCCGGCCCGGTATTGTGCGGGCCCGGGACCGGTCCGGTCGGGCGGTCCGGGACCGGGTATGGGCCCGAACCGGTGGGAAGGGGCGGGGCGGTCTCGGTTCAGCATTATTGTGACCCGGCCCGGCCGGGTCGGGCCCGGGCCCGGGTCCGGTTCAATTTAAATTTTTTTTTTTTTATTTGGTTTGGGCTCCTACTAGCCGTTGGGCACTTGGGGGTGGGGCTGGGGACAACCCAAACGGCTATATAGCCGTTGGGTGGGGTAAAGGGGGGGTTGGGTGGTGGGGGGGTTGGGTGGTGGGGGGGGGGGGTGGGGGGTAAAAAAAACCTATAAATACTCCTAATCTTAAACATTTTTTCATCTCTTCTTCAATTCTTCCTATTCTTATCTCTCTACTCTCTTATTCTCCAATATATTATATATCTACTCTCATATTCTCTTCTCCAAGAAGTTAAGATGGAAAATCAAAATGCCATTATACGGTATAATTTTGATAAGCAGAAGGACCCGAAGACCGGGATGTGGTACACAATTTGCAAATGGTGCGAAAAAAAATGTATAATGGGGGCTTCAGGCGGATTCGGGATGGCAATCAAGCATATGAAGTCATGTGACAAAGCCAAAGGATCGGGAGGTGCAGGAAGTTCCGATTGATTACAATTTTCAAAATGTTTATCTCTTAAAGTTTGTTTTAATTTTCAAATGTAGTTCCTATTTCATTTCAAATAAATGCAATTGAAGTTTGTTTTTAATACTCGTATAAAACTATAAACTATAAAATATAAATTATAAAAAAAAAATTAACCGGCCCGGCCCGAACCGGACCCGACCCGTGACCCGGGCGGGTGGCCCGGCACGAACCGGACCCGTCCAACCCGTGGGCCGGTCCCGGGCCCACTTTTCTTGAACCGGCGGCCCGACCGGGCCTAGGTCCGGCCCGGGCCCGACCCGGCCCGAATCCATCACTATATATAGATGGTCACCCTAAAAGAGCAATATGAATCCTTGACTTTGACTACTTCTCGGTTCTCACACTTGAATTTCTCTGTGATCATAAAGACATGTACTTCTAAGTTCTAATTAAACATTAGAAGCCAATACTATCATAGCACAAAAAACTAGCCAAAATGTTTTAAATGAACTAAGAAAAAACAACAATAAAGTAAGCAATTAAAAAAAGAAAAAGTGTTGAATGTTAACCATTTGTCACATTCATCCATGATAAAAGCTCTATGCATTTTAAGGATAACTCAGTTATCAAGTCCTCCCATCACAAGTTCACAAATCACAACAGATATGGTTGGACTCGGGTCGGACCACCCGGCCCGGTTCGGGTTCGGGTCCGGGCTCGGGTCTCAAATTTGGTGAACTGGCCCGGGCCAAATTGATTTTTTTATTTTTTTTATTTTTTTTTTCATTTTTGGGGTTCCACCCGGGTTGGGCTTGATGGGTAGGGGGTGGTTAGGAAACCAAAAAAAAATCCAAATTGGAGGTCCGGCCCGGCCCATCCCGGACCCGGATTGGACCCGGTGGCTACCCGGGCCGGTCCCGGGTCCACCATTCCTGAACCGCCGGCCCACCCGGGCCTAGGCCTGACCCGGACCCGGACCCGGCCCGGACCCGAGTCCACCCCTAACAACAGATGGTGTTTCACGAGGGAATTATGGGTGGACTGGGACCGGGTTGGGTCGGGAAGGGACTGGAGTTTAGGATATCAGGCCCGGCTCTGGCTCGGGTTGGTATTGGGGCGGGTCGGGTCAGACAATTGTTTTTTGATAATTTTGTTTAAAAATTAATTCAACAAGTGCTAGAAAATAAAAATTTAAAGTATATTTATTTGAAATATGAACTACAATTGAGAATAATTTAAAACATTAAATACATTTCCTAAAAATCAAACTTTTTGAGTTCTACGTCGGGTCTTCAAAGCGGGAGTTGATTTACCTTTTTTCATAAGATTACCAAATGTATATTTCAAAAATGATTTTCCTTTAGATAAAGATGTTCGTGTTGGGCGAGGGAGTGGGTTACCATATTGTGCATGAAACTCATTATATAATTGATAAAATAAATTAGTAACCTCGTTGTATTGCTCTTTAGGATCTATGGCTTTATCATCATACATAGGTAATGGACAAAAAACAGCCATAATAATACTCTAAACAATTTTGAAAAGCATTAAGTTTGAAACGAAGTTCAAGAATAAAGGTAATACCATATATATGCGGAATATGTGAATAATGTTTTAAAAAAAATTCTTTCATGAAAGAACAAAAATAATGAACATAAGGGGCAGTTTCAAATTCAGAAAATGCACCGGCGAGATTAACAGCTTCAACATAAAATTGGTTTGCGGTAGGTTTATAAACATGACTAAAAGTTTGAGTTGCATTATTAAAATATACCAAAACATTGACAATTTTTTGCATAATGTCGATCTTTGTCGGATTTATAATACAGTTAGCATATTTTTAAAAAAACAGGAAAATGATCTTTAAATCTAATAAGTACAACAATTAAGTTATAAGTACTATTCCAGCGAATAGACAAATCATTAGGAAATTTACAACATTTCACACGTCTAACCATCAAATACTAACGTCATTGCAATTTAAGTTGATTATTAGCTCAAATAAGTCTAGTAACCCCTTCACGTTGTCCATAGCATCTCTTAACGTGGCTAGCTCGTCTTTGACACGTAAATTGAGAATATGACATGCACAACGTTGATGAAAAAACCTACCCATCAAATTAGGACCACACAATTCACGCAATCTAGATATAGCAGCAGTATTATTACTAGCATTATCAAAACCCATAACAAACACCTTATCGATCAAATTATATTTAGTTAAAATACGCTCAATGAGAATATAAATATTATCACCGGTGTGTCGGTCATTAAATTCACGAAAAGCAATAACACGTTTATGCATTTCCCAATCATCATTGATATAATGTACAGTCACACCCATTTAATACAAACGATGATAAGTATCCTCCCATACATCTTTACAAATACTAACACGTCCATCATATCAATGTTTGCGAAAACGTTTTTAATATATCCTTTTCCAAACCATATTGCCTTGTAACTTCTTTTTTAATGGTTTTACGACTATAATTTCTAAATTGAGGATTTAAACAACCTTGAGCATAAGCTTTTAATGCAAGACTTTCAGAAAAAATAAAAGACAATTTTTCTTCAACAATTAATTCAGACATAACAATTAAATGTTTGGAGTCATCATATGAGAAATTACCAAAGGGTTGGCCAGTTACAAACCTCGATATTTGTGTTTGCTCCCCCTTGCCTTTTAAATTCACATACTCCACAGGGTGACATCTCTTAATATGCCTATCGGCGCTGCCGTATCCTTGCGAAATCCTCAAGCTTATATTTTTGTCACAATGTTTGCAAGTTGCCCACCACTTCTCGGTTTGGGAGTCCTTCCACTTTTTATAATTATTTTTCATGAGAGATTCACCTTTCTTACCAGGTTGAGATGAACTAGGCTCATCCTCATCAGGTGTTCCCTCGTCGCCTTGATCCTCTTCGGCGTCGTCAT